TTGCAAATGACAGTATGCAAATCTAAGCTGAGTGAAATAAGAAATGTAGTGGCTTACATAATTGAAAAGAGGTTAAAGAAAATTTTTCTATTGGAAGGCTGAGGCGGAAGGATCGCCAGAGCCCAGCAGGTCGAGGTTGCAGTGGCCAAGAGCGGCCACTGCACTCCAGTCTGGGTGACAGAGTGAGACTCCAACTCAAAAAAAAAAGAAGAGCAGGACCTAGAAAGAAGAAAGTACTCTTCCCACCTCAACACCAGCTAGGTTTCTAAGGGTGCCCAGGTTCAGAGGTCTCTTATAGTTCCAGCCCTTGGAGTTGTTAGAAATGGAAAATGTACAAGTCCAGGAAGTAAGTGAAACCAGACCCTTCACTGAATAGAAGATGGACCCCCCCCAGCTTGGACAGGGATTGTGCCTTTGCCATTTGCATACTGAGTGTCAGGCCCAGGATAGTTGTTGGGTAAGTGTGGGTTGATGACTGGATGGGAGGGGACCATGTTTTCTTCCTGTAACTTGGGGCCCAATTGAAGCCTAACAAGGTTCTACTTATCCCTGCAATTAATGGCATCACCTGCTGGGATAAGCTCCAGGTGTGAGAAGAGCAAGGTAAACGCAGGTGGGTAGATATGCCACAGGAGTGGGCAGCAGGATAAACCGCCAGAGGGATTTCCTGTAGCGACCAAGTATTCTTACCTTCCAGATGACCTCATGATGGATGAGGACCTCATGGCTTCCAGGACTCCAGAACTACCACTGTCTGCATGTACCACTTTTATGCTAGCTGGCATCTGCCTTTCTGTACAAAGTTACTATTAATTGACATTGACCTTTTCCTGAAAATACAAGTTTAGGTATCATGCAAATTTCATGACCAGTAAAGCTGCTGCTCCAGTATCCTAACTGAGAGATGATTATTTGTCAGTTGCCTTAAAATAATAAATTTATTTCCATAGTGGTCCCTAATACTTCCCTGGAAGTACCAACTACTTCTTACCTTGCCCTGCCCTTCCTGCAGAAACAACTTCTTTTTTTCAAAAGAAAGTCAGCCATGTCTACCTTGTGCCCAAATCCTGTGACTCTTGAAACATGTAACTCTACCAAGGTCTTCCTACTTAGTAATATTTTTTTCTTTGACTTGGAGTCTCATTTGATCGTCCAGGCTGGAGCGTTGTAGTGTCACGCTCACGGACACCACAGCCTTGACCTGCTGGGCTCAGGCGATCCTTCCGCCTCAGTCTTCCAAGTAGCTGGAACCACAGGCACGTCCCTGGCTAATTTTTTGATTTATTGTAGAGATGAGGTCTCACCAAGTTGCCTAAGCTGGTCTTCAACCCCTGAGCTCAGGCAATCCTCCTGCCTCAGCCTCCCAAAGTGCTGGGATTACAGGCTTGAGCCACTGCACCCAACCTGGCAATATTTTTTAAACAATTAAATTCTATCTTTAGATTATTAAAAGCTAATCCTAATTCCTAATATGAAACTAAGGAAAAAGTTTAGAGTTTATCAAAATCAATTTAGACAGTATCTTTTTTTTTTTTTTTTTCCCTGAGTCG